CACTTGGCAAAGACGGCGACGCCGACGACGACAGCGATAACGACGACGACGCCGCCGACAACGACTACGACGACACCGACGACGTCTCCAACGAGAACGCCGATGACGACGACGACGACGCCGACGCCGACGACGACGATGACAATGACGACGACGATGACGACGCCGACGGCGACGACAACGACGACGCCGACCGCGACGACGACGTCAACGACGCCGACGACGACGGCGACGGCGGCGACGACGACGACGCCGACGTCGACGACGAAGACGACGGCGACGCCGACGCCGACGACGTCGACGAAGACGGCGACGACGTCGCCAACGAAGACGACGACGAGGGGGGGGGGAACGACGACGACGGCGACAACGACGACAACGACGACAACGACGAGGGAGGAGGGGGGGCGGCGACGGCGCGAACGACGAAGGAGGAAGGACGGCGACGCTGACGACGACAACGACGAGGGAGGACAGAAGACGACGACGACGTCAACGACGACGACGACGACGACGGCGACGAAATAGGAGGGGCGACGACGAGACGCCGACGACGGACGACGACGACGAGGGAGGAGGAGGAGGAAGGACGACCACGGCGACAACAACGACGGAAACGACCGCGACGCCAAAGAGGACGACGACGACGAACGCGAGGAAAGACAGAGGACGACGTAGGCGACGACGACGACGACGCGGGAGGAGGGGGGACGGCGACGACGACGACGGGGGCGACGACGCGAGCGCGCGCGCGCGTGTACTTTTGTTGAAAATCCGTGTTGCGAAACCATGTTTTTTTAGGTGTTGTTGGGCGCGATTTTGAAATCCTTCCGACGCCGATGGGTTTTGAAGGATTTCGGCGTGCGCGCGCGACGACGCGCGCGTCTGCACTTCGCCCCGTTTGTTGCAGGGGATTCTCGCGACGGCGCGCGCGTGAGGGCGTTCGACATATTGCGACATGCGCGCGCGAAGCCCTTTTGGTAGCTTTTTGTGAACATCTTAAATCACCAGGAAGGTTTTCCCGAGATTTCGCAGGAGCTCGCGCGTGAGCTTGTTTAGCAAATCAATGTTGCGACACCCTGAGTTTTTGTCTGTTTCTGTGGAAACTCGATGGCGAAATCCTTCCGACTCCGAAGGTTTTTGGAGGATTTCGGCGCGCGCGCGCGATGGCGCGCGCGTGTGTGCTTCGCCCCATTTTCTGCATGGGATTGATGAACAAGTTTTATGTTATAACAAAAGATGTCCCCGCGTATTGTTTTGGGGCCGATGCCTGTTCCCCTGGGATAGTGTGCATTCATATTTCGGATGGACATCTGGTCAGAATCGCATGTGATTTCCATGCCCAGAAAGGGGGGCCGATGACGCCGGGGGGGGGGTCGAGTTTATTTTCTTTTTTGAAAGGAGAATCACATTCTGTTTGCAGTGAGTTGCCCACTCCACAGCTCGCGCAAACGTCCCACCCTCCCGCTCGAAACTCGTTTGGCAAAACTCATGATGCAGGGGGCGGCGGCGCCGCCGATGACGACGTCGATGATGGCGTCTTCACTGCCGATGCTCGTTGCTGTGAGCCGATGATGAAGGTGGGCATATCGACGATGCTCGGACGTGCGCGATGACAAGATGACGTCGGCAACGTCTGCGACAATGTCGAAGATGGCGCCGGCGACGACGATGTTCAAGAGGGCGGCGGCGCGACGATAACGGCGCCAATGATGGCAAACGCGTTGGCGATGCTGATGTCCATCTGTCGATGAGGTTGGTGTTCGCGGTGATGCTGGCGAGGTTGAAGAGGAAATCCGCGCGCGCGGAAGTTCGACAAATCCAACCGCTGTGCGCGCATTTGTTTTGCAGGGGATGGCGGGTGGGGGGGCCGATGCCGGTCTGGCTGGGATCGTATGAATTCATATTTTGGATGGGCGATGGGGCAGAGTCATACTTCAATCGCAATGCGAAAAGGTGACCCGTTAACTCCGGAGGCGTGTGTGTGTGTAGCGTCTATGTTGACAGGGGAATCCACTCTGCTAAACTTGAAGTCGCCATCTTCACTGCTCGCGCAAACATCCCGCCCTCCCGCCTACAACTTGTTGGGCAAAACTCATGATGCGGGGGTCGGCGGCGCCGCCGAGACGACGTCGATGATTGCATCCTCGCTGCCGATGCTCGTCGCCGTGGGGCGTTTATGAAGGTGGGCATATCGACGATGCTCGGACGTGCGCGATGACAAGATGTCGTCGGCGACGTCTGCGACAATGACGAAGATGGCGCCAGCGACGACGATGTTCAAGAGGGGGACGGCGCGAACGATAACGGCGCCAATGATGGCAAACACATTGACGATGCTGATGTTCATCTGTCGATGAGGCAGGTGATCGCGGTGATGCTGACGAGGTTGAAGAGGAAATCCGCGCGCGCGGAAGTTCGCCAAACCCTTCTGACTGATCATGCGCTCGCGGCGGTGCGCGTGTGTGGCCCGCGTGGTGTTCTTTGCAAGGGATTCGCGCCCTCGGCGCATGACAGGAGTATCGCGGGTGCACCGCGCGGTGACATGAAATCGTTGGATTTGGCAGAATGCCTCACACCCTCGTGGTTGGTTTTTGTAAGATTTTAACGCGGGCGCGCGGACAGGACAGTTGCGGCATTTTCGTTCTAAACCGTTATGCGTTTTAGTGAAAGGTTATTCTGTTGTCATGCTTGCAAAAAACCATGGTTTGTGGTGCGATTTTGACATGGACGCGCACGTGGCGGTTTTGTCTTTTCTTCTGTTATATTTATGTAGACAACAACGCAACTCAATATATTTTAAGTATTCAAAAATATAGAATTCTTTACGCTTCGCGTATCCCACCAGCCCATTTCACTGCAGCAACTCTCGCGAAGCATGCCGACCGTCGTGTTTTTCAGGCGTGTGTCCGCTTGGCCCCGCATATCTCCCCTGTTCCTCCTTCCTCCCGCCTCCTTGTACATCCTCCTTGTGGGGGGAGCGGGAGAAGGACGAGGCGGAGGAGGAGGGAGAGAAAGCGCTCCTCGTGATTTGAGTCGTTTGGGGTTTCTCGTCCTGGTGTGAGTCGTTCG